TCTAAACCCTAAAATCTGAAATAGTATTTTCTTGTAAAACGTACACCAGTAGTCTTTGTTTTATTTACAACTTCGAAAAATGTTTTTTACAGTGTACCTATCTTTCAGCAAATCAGGTGGCCAATTTTACATCACCTAATTAATATTCATAAGGCAAACTGAAAAGGTTCATAATGAGATTCCCATACTTTTCAGATCATTTCCTATGTCCCTATGTTACACTGAGCTATAGAGTGATTTCCCGAGGTGTCCTTGAACAGTCCCGCTCTGCCATGGTTTTGTCAGAGATATTTTCTGTCATTGAAAGGCCTCTTCTCTATGTTGGAATGAGTTCTCAGATAATCTCTTACACACCCACAGTTTGTCTTGTATTGCGTACTGCCCCCTTTAGGCCTGCCCTGGCACAGCTGCAGGATAATGAGGTCATGGAGGCCCTCTTGCCAGCAGGAACTTGAGCTTACTTAAGGAAAATTACTCTGGGTTTGTGCAGCCCAAACTGATTGTGCTAATTCCTAGAGGGCTGAAAAGGTCGACTTGGCCGCTGGCCTTATTTGTCGGGGGTTAAAACCATCTTTTCAAGCTGTTGTTGCTCCCATCACTGGTCATCATGGGTCAATTCCCTTTTCTCAGGTGGGGATTGTGTAGGGGGCAGGGGAATTTTGGGAGGGGGCGGAGTGGGTCAGTATGAGGGTCATTTCAAAATGTTTTTTTCCTTCATTTCAGTTCCAGACATGCTTCTTTGTACATCACCGCAGATCATCGTCTCAATTACCGAAGTCATCCGTTGTTCTCTCTCGTCAGTGATTTTTTTCGACTGCTCGGGAGAACATGTAGACTGTAAAGTCTGCACTGCAGTGTGTGTCATGTCTGCTTTTCATCTTCCTATTAAACCCACAGCCGCTTGTCTACCACAACCATCATAAGAACCTTCCACACTACTGTTTTTTTTCTACGCGCACTCACCTTTCCTCTCACCATCTTCCTCTGTCTTCTCATAGTTCTTTCTAGGGATGTCAGAAATACAGGTACTTCGGTACCAAGTCAATAATAAAACTACAGATTCAATGTTTTTATAGCTGAGTTTTACACCCACTTTCAAATGCCCACATTCATTTTTTTTTGTTGTGAAATAAAACTCTGCTTAAATTAATTACAAATGAAATACATATAAAAATCTAGATAAACTAGTCAACCTCAATTGGGACCATTGTTAGCTATTCCTAATATTTAATAATCATGCAGTAAAGGCTATGCCAATAATTTTTATTTTAAATATATTTACTTTTGGTTTATTTATTTATTTATTAATTTTTTATGTCATTTCTAGATTATTACTTAAACTTGATAGTACTGATACAGACCTTAAAAACGTAACATTTTTAAATTCTATCTCTCTTCAGTTTTTGTTCTATTGCTCGTTATTTGTTTCTTTGTTCCTGATTTTATTTTTCTCAAATAATTTATTGAGAAAATTAATCAGTGTTTAATTGATAAATACTTAAAGCTACATGCCGTTTTTTATTTAATTTGGTAATAATTATATATTTATTTTGCATTCTAAATAAAGTGTTTTGTCCATTAGCATATTAGTTTTTGATGTGGTATCAAAAATGGCATCAAAAATCATGAAATTTCACCTACTGACATTTTGGTATCATGGCAACCCTAGGTAACTCTCTGTTCCTCTCTCTGCTGATCAAGTTCAGCTTTTACACCTTTACTCAACATCTCTGCATCCCTAGAGGGAGAAAAGAGAGAATGAGGGAGGTGAAGAACACAATGAGAGCCATTAGGTGATGAATCATTTTTTTTCTACACCTCCAGTGTGTTGACTAATGACTGCTGCGAGCACTAAAAAGGTCATGTTTTTGGATTCAGTCCATGAGTGTGAGTTTGTGTGTATTTCTGTATGTGTGTACATGTGAGGGGGTAAATCTTTTATATGTTGTGTGTATTCTCTTAAGATTATTCAAGTCAGTTTTGGGTAAATGTAATATTTGGCTTCGTAGTAAGAGGCTCTTTGGATGAAATCCAGGGGTTTTCATTGTTCTTGATTTTAACATAAATTTGTTGTAATGTTTTTGACCTTTTTGAGGCGAATTGCAAAGTTTTGAAATTCATGAATTTTAAAGAAGTTTTCTGGGTTTAATTGAAGTTGAGCTGCATGGACAGCACCTGTGTCATGCTGTCGATTGCCAGAGAAAATAATTGTGTTTGTAGTAGTGCACTTATAATGGAGGTCTGTGGGGCAAGGTATTCTACCAGAATAGATTAAAGTAAAACAATTAAAATACATTCTTTCAAAAGTATAGCCACAAGATTTGATCATTTATGTATGTTAAATGTTACTTACTAACCTTGTCTTTTCAAATTTACATTAAGTTTTTTTTTTTTTTTTACTCATGTGTACTTGTATGTCCAATAATACATAGACAAGATGTACACTACCATACAAAAGTTTAAGGTCAGCATATTAGAATGATTTCTGAAGGATCATGTGACACTGAAGACTGGAGTAATGATGCTGAAAATTCAGCTTTGACCTCATCATAGGAATAAATTGCATTCTAAAATATATTATAAATATAATAAACTGAGGGAAGAATCTAAATTAATTTTGGTAGTAATTGAAAGCATGTCACAGATGTTGTCAATAGAGATTAATTTAAATTGAATCGAGGAAATTTCTTACAAATCCTTAAATCTGTGGCAAACATCATTGCACAAAAGTGCTTTGAACATAAACTACAAATACATTAGGCAACCGGCAAATATGGAACCCCACTTCAGTCGCAGTTCCTTGGTATCAAGCTTCACCTAAAATGAAACTGTTACCCTCAAGCAGAAAAGCTATTGAATGTTTGCTGGCACCCCTCGGTCGGCATGTGCTCCTCAGCCGTCTGCCGTAATGTTTTCCTAAGAACGTAATAATCAAGAGAGATTTTGGATGGGAAAAGTCTTTGTACATGAGCGCCGTGGTTTCCAGAGCGCTGCAGATTAGCTACGGTGTGTCATTCAGAGGATCAATAAAATATTAAATGGATCGAATACAAAGTGTTTCTGCTATGAAGAATTCAAGATCACCCTTATGAGCTGCCTTTATATTTGGAAAAGAAAATAATTTTGAAGATGAAGCTCTTTGTACCGTGGAGATTGAGCTCGAACATTGTTTGAATGCAGTATTCAGTGCCTGGATGCTGAGTTATTCAGACTTACATGGATAAAGTACCAAGATTTTCAGAGAGGCGCCTCACCTATGTAATATTTAGTCATGGGAAGGCTGGAAGATGCAATGACTGTGTGTTTCAGAGACTGTTTGTGCGCTGCGGGCTGATTGTATACATGGTTAAAAGGCAACATAGTTGCAGTCGAGTCTCTGTTATTCCTGAGAGACAGTTTCCTATATACAAAGCAGCCTGGAGACGGGCAAGTACTAAATAGGCAAGAAGCAATGCTGGAAAGCCACCAAGCATGCTGGCATGAAAGAACACGTCCTGTGAGGACGACCACCTCAGTCACAACGGCATACTCAAAGAAATATGTTCATTGACATGGAAATAAAACAAACATATTGACTTTTAGTGATTGTCTATTCAATGATTTGGACAGGAAATGTCTTCAAATTTTAAAAACCTTCATTTGGAGGATTTCCTCTGCATTGAATTAGATTTTTAAATTGATTTGATTCATTCATTAGCATTTCGTGCAATTAATTCTGTTAATACTTTTAATTAATTGACAGTAATAATGTTTACACGTATGTTTTTTTTCTGCCGTGCAACAAAAGTGATGACTAAATAAAATTCATATAATTTTTTAACTTCATTAAACTGACATCAACTTACATTAATTAGAAAGTAAACAACTTGTAGAAAAGGGGCATGACATTTATTTTATGAAGTAATTTTTTCAACAAACAGTCAGTGAATGCAGTGCTGAACCTTCAAAAAATGTTGATCGTCAACCACAGGAGGTCAAACTAAATATAACATGAGCTGTTTATTTTCTGTTCATTTTATAAGATTTGCGAAGCTTCCAACCTTGTTGCAAAAAAAAAGCGACTTCCCTGATTTATGAGATTTTATTTTGTACAAACAGGCATAAAATAAACATCAAAAACAGAGTTGTTTATAAAGGTTGAGCTTAATGAATGCACTCAAAATTGAGAAAATGGATTGAGTTCATTTATTTGCTCTCATGCTGTAGAAGTGAACCTTGGGTTTCACAATTTTAAGGAATGATACATTTATAATGAGGAAAAACCATGTGGTATCAGGATTGTGTGTGAAACGTGGAGCCCAGCTAAATTTAGTTTTTAGAATTTTGCAAATTACAAATTAGAAGTTTTAAAATTACTTTTTAGTAAGAATTATGGAGTAACTTTCTAGCAGAATGGTGTGTCCAAAATCTTGTACCACAAGCTAATTTTCTATCACAATTATGATACATTGATGACACAGTAATCCAGTCTGAAAAGCTACTTTGAAACAATGTGTATTGTTTAAAGCACTGTACGAATAAACCTGACTTGACCTACTACAATTAATCAAATGTTAATTCAACAGATTCTATCAAAACTTGTGTAATTTAAATTGTTTGATAGTTGAGACAGGCCAAAATCAGAGGGGAATACAGAAATTTTATTTGTTTAAAACATGCTATATTTCATTAACATTATGTTAGTTTGGCAAGCATTTCTCATAGTCATCACAACAAAAACATGGATTTGTGCCTCTGATGATTAATGAAAAAAAAATCAATGGGACACCAACATGTTATTTATTCATAGAAAGTGCCAGTTACACAGTTATGCTCGCTTTTCCTTTACATGAGTGAGTGGCTGCACATTGCTGTGAAGTAATGGGGAATCATAAACCAGCGTTTTATTGCTAAGTCACAGGGTTCCAGTCAGCCGTCATTGCACACCAATGGAAATGTTGAAAGAACCTTGACATTAATATTATGTTTTGGTTTTGTTTTTTTCAACCTCTTTCCCAAAGCTACCTCTGACGGTACAAAAGAAGGAATCAACAGCATGAGAGGAGGCGTCTGCGTGACGCGAGGGATGAAGTTGGTTCTCAAAGTGGGACAGAGTGAGTATCATCATTACCTCCAAAAACACATCAATGAATGAACCTAAGCACTGAGGGAGAGTCAAAATTCAATAAATGTTGTGTCAATACAAGCTCACTCCTGTCCACAGTTGAAGAAATTGAATCCTACATCAAAATGTGCTGAATGTTTTTTTTGCTTTCATAGCTGCATATGGCCTTCCCCCAAAGCCCAAACCTGATCCAGGCCGACCCAGCAACAGAATCCCAGGTAACAACCAGAAATAACCCGGGACACTTATGAGCTTAACCCTGGGTTAAAATCAGTTTTTTAGTTCAGGATTAAGGCCACTTTTAATCCTGCGTTAAGCAGCATTTCACTAGCAATTTTGAAAAGATGTTAGCTGTGCACCTGGGTTGCTAAACCCTGCTCCAGAAGAGGCACTAAACCAGAATTGCAGTGTCAGCGGTGCACAGAGTGAAACAGCAAAAATGTTTAGCAACAGACAACCAATCATAAACTAAATAATGGTTGCTTCATTAAATATTTATTTTTTATTGTTTATTTTTATTGTTTTTTATTGTATAGGACAGTTGACAGGAAATTGGAGGGAGAGAGAAGGGAAATGGGTTGGGTACATGACCCAGGTCAGACTCAAACCTTGGCCCCTGTGAGCATAACAGCTCCGTATGTCATGAGTAACATGTACTCATTAAATATTGAAGGACTTTGTGCAGTTGCAAAATTTTTCACACTGTTTAGGTTTAGTGTCTTGAGGGAAACAGTTAAGTGATGCCTAATGCTTCTCTGCATTGTCCGTTGAATTGTTGTCTTTATTTTTGTAGTGATGGAATATGGAATATGTAAACATAAAAGAAGTTGAAGTAAATTTACTGAAACGAAGACAAATTTAATAATGAATATCTCCACATCTCTGCTGAAATAAATTTAAAGCTAAATACACTCTTAAGAAAAATGGTTCTAAACAGTACCAAAAATACGGCTTGTAACAATAGCAGAACCCTTTTTAGTGCTAAATATAACCTTTTTTATAGGGTTCCATATAGAACCATGCTTTGAAAATGCTATATACGACCTTTAGGGTTTTAAACGACAATAACAACAACAACGTGTCAATTAGGTACTTTTTTTAATGACGTGAAATTGTAGCAAAAATGACAGTGTTCCAACAACAGTTAATAGCAGAATACATTAATGAATGACAAAGGACATTGAACATAAATAAATGCTTAAAGAAATAAAACAAAATAGAACATAAAATAGTGTATTGAAGACCTTCTATGATGCCTTTAAGTTAATCATTATGTGTATTTTGGTGTGATTGAGTGGCAGTTTCTCTCTGCAGATGACGAGGTTGTAGGATGTGACAGCATCTGAAATGCACAATTGAGTTTAGATATACAGTTTGTCTCCTTTCATTTGTTTATGTGAAACAATTGTTTATGTGTATGTATGTGAGCATTTCACAATGTTAAAAGGAAAATGTAATATAAAGTCAAAGGATAGCTGGGTATGTTTATGCATAACCTTAGTAATAAAACATATCTAACAAAATTGACCAAAAATCCAATATCTTTTTTACTTACTTAGTAAAGAAGAGGAGAGTATCCTTAACTGAATAGAGCTGGTCACACTTACATGTTCTCTTAAACTAAAAAGAGAAAAGACATAGGAAACCAATTAGCATTTGAAAGTTATAATTTATAGACATTTTAAGAAAGAAATAATTTACCTGTTGAGAGTGTGTTGACAGTCTGTGTAGTTGGATGACTGAGCTCCAGAAAATCAGTAATGAGGCATCTTAGAGTGTAGCCTCGGTTAGGGTTTTACATTAAAACAACAACAACAATAACCACAGCAGCAGCATGTTGTGTGAATTATGTTTTTATTGACATGCAAAATTATCAGTGCTCTTAACAACAGTTATTAGCTGAATACATTAATGAATGACAATTGACATTGAACATGAATAAATACATAAAGAATAAAACACAAAATAAGAACAAAAAATAGATGTGATGAAGACCAAATTTCAGTGAAACAATCACAATCCAGTCAATATGGTGCCTTAAAGTCCATCATTTTGGTGTGATTAAGTAGCGATTTTGACACTCTGCAGATGATGAGGTTGTGTGATACATCTGAAATATACAATTAAGTTTAGAGTTACAGTGTGTCCATGTGTTTGTGTAAAAACAATTATGTTTATGAAGGCCAAAAGCAAAAATGGACAGTTTGTGAGTGCTTCACAATCTTAAAAGAAAAAAGTGATATAAAGTCATTGTCAGTTACAGATATGAAAAACAAAAGGGCGGGAATAAAGAACCCTAAACTCTAACACAAAAAAACATTTCAGCATGAAAGGGATCTTCAGAATAATATGGTTCTAAATAAAACCATTACTGCATGTAAAGAACCATCTTTTTTTAGAGTGTAGAAATACTTAAAAAAAAATCAAAATACTTAAAAACAACAAATTATTATTCAATTATCAAAATGATTAAAATTAAAATGAAAACTGAAAATAATGAAAGTTTATTCAAAATAATAATAAATACTATAATAGTATATAAATAATGACTAGCTAAAATAACACTGAAATAGAATGTTAACCAAGGCTCAGAAAGACGCCAAGTAAACAGTTTTAATGATGAAAATCTCATGGGGTCTGCTTTCAACTGCATTTACGTATTAACCTTGATGCCATATGCATATGCATCTGTTGTCATGTTGATGCACTGTCTAGCGTTCTTTGAATTGATTTCATTTCTTGTAGGCTTAGACTGCACTGGTTGATCTCCATAAAGTAAACATTTGAGGAACCAGCATTGTTGAAGCCAAACATGAGGCATATTTGAACTCAAGCTCAAAGCTAGAAACCAAAGCTAGTTATGGATTAAATCGAATCTAATCTAAATACTATCAGGATGTTTGTCGTAGAAGATAAAGCCACAAAGCAAGTGAGCTTCAGAAGTCCTGCAAGTGGATGTTGGGTCGTTGATTTATCAGCTCTTTTCTGTTTCAGATACAGAAAGTGGCTCTAAAGCGGGTGATGGGAGTGAGGCCGGTGAGAGGGGAGACGGCGGGGCCGTGTCTGTCTCTAACATCGCCTTAATCACCGGTGGTGCCGGGGGAGCCTTCATCCTCCTGATCGCCGTAGTGATCGCTGTGGTGTGTTACCGCCGACGGAAAGCCAAGCACTCCGAATCTCACCACCCCGCCCTTACGCTCTCCTCTCTTACCCCAAAGAGAGGCAGCTCCTGCGGGGCAGCTACGGGAGTCGGCGGAGGCAACAATAATGGCTCAGAGCCCAGTGATATCATCATTCCCCTACGGACCTCTGACTCTGCGTACTGCCCCCATTACGAAAAAGTCAGTGGCGATTACGGACACCCCGTCTACATCGTTCAAGAGATGCCCCCTCAGAGTCCAGCCAATATTTACTACAAAGTATGAGATCAGCGAACACACAGACAGCCCATCCTGAATTTATGGTACCTCACACACATGCACTGTGTCCAAGTGACTCTATATTTAAGAGCCTATTCGCGGTACTAAAACTTGGACCTGAAGTTGAGTTCTAGAAAAGTGGTAAATCCAGATTTTATGTCAGCAGTGTGTTTGCGTTCATTTACACGTGTGTGTCTCTGTGCGCGGATGACTGATTTCACATGTACTCAGGTGCAAGTGAATTTACACATCCGTTCTAATGGTTGAAACTGAGTTATTGTGCTTATCCTCAAAACCAAACAGTAGAGAGTGATTCATACTTTAAAAAAGAATACCTATATAAATACTATAAGTACTTCTTACATTTTTACACTCTGGGGGGAAATTCACTAAGAAAGTGCACTGGCTGATTGCGTGTGTTTATTTGCACATGCATTGTTTTAGTGGTCCATTCAGTAAAGGAAATCCGGTATCAATAAAAACGCACACCCAAAAGATCTAAACACCGTCTCCACGCCACAATTCTCCACCTTGCTGAATTGCAGATTAGCACAATCTGGCATAGTTTACTGGGACTGTACCGTATCGCTAAGATCCAGACAACTGACTGACTCTTTAAAATGCCAAAAAGCATTTCGACTCCATTGTGCGTCTAGATAGGTTTCCATTTAAAAGCTTTTTTCATCATTTGATGAATTAATGTGCCCTTATCACTAGAAACTTTACACAAACTTATTTTTTAAATGTTAGCACATTGCTAATTGCTTCTTTTTTTTTTTTGACAGTTTTGGGTACCAGACAAAACAGATGTCTTCTGATGTGATCTGGTGAAGACACCGAATTCAAAATTCCTTGCACTTTGGAACAATCTAACATTTTTGGTGTAATTGGCAGAATCAAGCTTTTTTGGCTTAGTTGGATCTGTTGTTTTGCGCATTCTAAAATAAGGCTCATTTGCATAGAAAGGAGGCATGTTTGCGCTGAAACTGAAAAAATGCTTTAATAATTCACTGAATTTTTTTAAATACTATTCCATCGCACAAAGCGCTTGTTAAACTGGATTGTGGCTAGTGAATGAGACGCCGAGTGTATTGGGCGCAAAAGTACTGCAACTGTTTAGTGAATTGGCCCCTCTTTATTTTGTTTTTCTCAGTTCATCTGATTGTAAATGTTTGTCTTTTCTGAACTCGGACCTCCATCTGATTTATTTATTGAGCATCAAAGAAACAGTTTTTCATTCCTTCCACTTCATCAGCTTCCTATCGCAACTCCTTAGCGCCCGGTTGTTTGTTTTTGAGTTTTTTTTTAACATTTTTATGTGAGCAGCAGGAATCGCATGTGGAGGAGGTGTAGACTGATGTTCGACTATTTCAGATGGAGACTCTTCTGAGGTTTCCAAGAGGTTGGAGGTCAAAGTTAAGCAGTCAGAGAAAAACCCCTCAGCGCTGCGTGGGAGTCCTTCACTCAAGATGATCTGAGGGGTTCTCGCTCTCTGCCCGGCCTTTTGAAGTACTGTGTACACCATGATAAATGCTCATTTACCCTAGACACACAATGCCAAACTTCTATACACTTAACACGCACATCCACATTACTGCAGTTTGTGTTTTCATGTGTTAACCCCTGCAGATGGACTTCAGCTGTGCATTTGAATGTGTTTCAAAGCGTTGTGGTTCAGGCTGAAGACAGTACTCTCATTATCACATTTCGGGTGACGTCTCCAAACCATCTCTGACATTATCACCCTGTGCCAGCTTGAGGCTTCAGGTCCACAGTTCACCAGAGTTATTTCACTGGATGAGACATGACATCATCACGAGATGTAAGAAGAGACAGTACGTTACCAGCCGGAGTGACCTGAGCTTTCTGGTTCAGACTTCTCTCTTCACGTCTCTGTTGATTTAAGGATTTCTTGCCATCATTACCATAAATGACTAACTACCAGAAATGGCACCTTTATCATTTTATTCTTCCCATTTTATCGCTTTCAAAAGTGTTAATTTGTTTGTAGATTGATCAAATGAGAATATTCTAAATGAAGGGAAAACAAACCGTTTTATCCAACCTACCCTGCTCGTGTCTGTGGTAACCCTCAATGGTAACTAGCATTGGGAACTGTAAGAAATTTAACAATTGTGGTTCTGATTCCCTTTAACTTTCCCATTGACTATTCTTTTAGTACATCTGAAGAAAGACATTTGCATTTATTGCATTTGCTGTCCTTAACAGTCTGTTGCCAAATGATGGACTTTTCAGACTTTTTAATGGTGACAAATTCAATCCAATAATTAGTCCTAACTATGTATTAAATAAAAAAAAATAAACATGTCAAAAATGTGGTAAGATTTTATATTTTCAAATTTTTTAATGTCATTAATACATTTTTATAAAATACCACAAATTACAAAAAAAACAATGTGTATATTTATCTGAACATTGTCATATGAACATTGAGTCAGGAACTACACTGAGTTAAGTCACACAAGCCTTAAGACCGAAATAACAAAAATAATAACTTTTAAGTTAGTCATTTGTTCGGGAATCAGACTACGCTGGTCACTATGAACAGATAAAGATATTGAGTTTTATTTAAGACACTTATTAGCAAGTAATTGGATATCTACGAGCAGAACTTTATACCGCTTTGTTTTTTCGTTATGTCTACAAAATAATTGGTACTTATTACTAATGAATGGACAGGAGATTTTTTTTTTTCCACAAAGTCTGCATATATTTATCAAAGATTTTTTCTGATGCACCACTATTCACAATGGCTACGTCCGAAATCGCATACTGTACTCTCATGAGTAGGTACATATTTTAATTAATTAATTACTTCGCAATCACTAAAAAGGTGTGTTCTATATAGGATGAATGTGTGTGGTAGGCTACTGCATGTATGTAATCTTGACATACGACGTTCATAATGTTGCCATTGTCACGTGACCTACCAGCATCAGTTGCGTTGCTTCGCTGTCATTCACAAATCCTTTCCCGTGGCCTCATGGGATAGTAAATTGTCCATCGTATGCACACTTATGTGTCTCGCTGGTAGTAGTAGGTCATCCGGGTACTTTTTCCCTACTGTTTTATGATTACTGTGAATTTGGACATACTACTTTTGTTCCATACTTTTTTCGCCTACTATGTAATAAGGAAGTATGCCATTTCGGATGCAGCCAGAGACTGTTGTGTCATTATTTGAATGAGTTTTTATATTGTGGTATTCAAGAAGGATGCATTTCCAAACTACTGCCCCTGTAGGCCTGGAGGAACCATTGTCAGGCTTATTCATACTTTATTTTTTATAGTTTCTTTATCAATGTATAATTTCTCCTTTACACCAGCATTATGTGATATACTCTGCTTCCCAAATCCTGAAAGATGTAAAGCACTTCCTCGACTAGCCAGGCCATGGGTTAGGCAGGTTTTTTTTTTCTTCTTCTTCTTTGTCCAGCTTCTTTGTTTAGCAAAGGTGAGCCATCTGGCCTGATTAGTGTTGACCTAAGCCACCCAAAGCATTACAATACATACCAAAAATTTCCAATAGCGACCACAAAATGACACCAAACCCTGTTTTACATTTTACATAGTCATTCAATACTGGCTGTTACACTTTTATTTGTTTACATTTGTCACCTAATATCATAATTTGAGATGCCTTGATACTGAAATGTGATAAAGACTGTTTCTAACTAATTCAACAGTATTTCTCTAAACAATGCTGTTTTCAAGAGGACTTTTTCAGTGTTTTAAAAGTCCAGTTGTACTGGACAGGACTTGATGTTCGGACTATGTTGAGACATTATAAAAAAAACATTGAGGCAATGTTAAATAAATGTTAATATGTTTAAGAAGATGTTGAGATTAGACACTGGAAATAACTGTTTGTTGTACCCATTCCTTTACTCTCTCTTTTTCTCTCTCTTTCCAACCAAGACACTCTTATCAAATAAAGATTACATTCCATGCAGTAAAACTCTGATAAAATTAAAAAAACTTGCTTCTGAGCTGGTTTATCATGGCTATCATTCACCTTTATAACAGTGATTCTCAAACCTCCCAGAGGGCGTTTTTACCACTACTTGTTTTATGCTGTTTTTGACCATTCTTCATTAGATTTCCCTCTTTCCATATTCCTTCTTGCTCACTTGATCTCATAATATCTTCCCACAGTTCACCTCTGTTGTTACTCTGTTTGTCCACTGACTCGATACAGTTCGCTGCTGGCTTGTGATAAGTGCTTGATGACATCACTGGCATTTTAATGGCACAGTCACTCCCTTCCCCTCCCGGTTTCACTCGTTCTGTCTTCCTTCTTGGTTCATCTCTCTATATCAGTGTTTGATGTGTTGCCCCCGTCAAGTCTGGGCACTAAATCAAATGGGCACTTTGACAGGCGCCATAAAAACCCCTCACTACCAAAACCCCACATGACCCTTCACAGTATAGTCGTAAGAAACTATGGCTGCTGCATTTGAGCGTCTGTTTGTTCTTGAAACAGACTCTGGCAGAGTGTGATAGAGTTGTTTTTCAGTCCAATAATATCCACGCCAGCAGGCCACTGACAGGTTGTCAGAGACGAAGCTGTTAAGACAGAAGCACAAGCACATGTGGACACACAAGCTTTGATTCGAGATATTGTTACATGTTATCAGTTTCATAATCATTCATTTTCTTTCGGTTCATTCACCAGGAGATTAAACGGATCCCTTCAATTCAAATATTTATTCAGAATCTGTACATCTCTCCACCGACAGACGCTTCTACCCAAAACCGTGACGGTATTAAAGCGGTTCCAGGACAATATGACATTATAGGCAAATTTAAATGCAGAACATTTTTACCATACTGCTCTGAGGCTGTGCGCATGATTGACAGGTCGTATCATACAGTGTGTACTCCTCTTTCTCTGAAACTCACCTTCGCTCTGCTAATGGCCGCCTGAGGGGAGAGGGTCCGTCTGGGCCTCATAGATAGCGAAACTGTGTGTGCCTGTGTTTGTTTTCGTTTGGCTATTTGTGTGTGCGGAGAGTTCGCCAGTGAATTGGAGGGTTGGCTAGAGGCGAGAGGTTAGTGCTGAATCTTTTCGTTTGTGTGTATGGTGTGCGCCCTTCAAATTCTTCTGTTTATTGACCTGTACATATGCTGGAGCTGGTCTTACATTAATCACTAACTTAAATGTTACACACTAGGTTCCCTTTCAGAATTTGCATAACTGTCAACACACACACACTGCTGTAAAGTTTTATTGATATTCTGACACATACCAGGACTAGCTCTGCTTTTTTAAACCACATGAACAGATTTCACACCATCTGTGTACCATCAGTGAATCACATACACACATATACTATCAATACTAGCATGCACACTTAGTATTGTTCATAATATTTGGCAAAAGTGGGTTATTTTGCAACATGCACACACATAAGCTCTACTGCCTACATAGGCAACATTCTAACTGTGTTATTCTTATGTTGTTATTCAAATAGTACAATATTCATAAGTACACACAAATTAACCATGGTTTTGCTACACACACCATAGTTTAACCATGGTATTTGTAGTGGTTATACAAATGGTAATCAATACAGCAAAAAAAAATAAAGTTACTTTTACTATAATAAACCCATGGTTAATTTTTGTAAGGGCAGTACACACAAATTATGGGCAAAAGTCCATTTTAACTGAGCAAACACAGAACATTCCGGTAATGTTAGTGTACGGTTTCCATTTGGTTGTTTTTATTGGGAACCAATAATTATTCTCAGAGTGTTCACAAACACTGGATTTGCAATTGATTTCAACAGAATTGCTGCTAAGCTAATACCAAAATACTCATAAGCCTAGAAAACACAAGATGCACAAACAATAGTCAAAATGGTCAATTTTTACTCAGCAAACACAGAACTTTCCATCTTCCAAGAACGTTCTGGGGACCAAGCATTGTTAGCGGGATAATTGTGTTGAATTTAAATGTGCTGGATAAAATTGTTAAATTGAGTTATAGATTTATTTATAATCAACATTTCTCTTGTATCATCTGCCATCTTGAATTTATTTTTTTTCTGCTGACTTTTTGTAGTGCATTTCTGGGATCACCTTCATGGCAAAAAAAAACATGCACTGCTGCTTTAGAATATAGGTGCATTTTATAATTTTTTTTTTAAAAGTTAACTACATTCCCGTCAGCAGTGCAACATTGGTGCTTTAAAAATACTGTCTCCATAGACAGCTCACTAGGTTTTGGAGCAGAGCAATAAAATGTAATCTTCATTATCGTCCTACACAACTGCAAATACACTCACACACATCATCCCTTTGGTGACAGAATGAGATTTGTGATCTTGTCAGGATTATCCATGCTCTGGTTTCTAGGTCAGCATTCCATCAGAACAGACATCCTCACTAAGAGACACAGGTCACACCCACACACACACCCACAC